AAAAAAAAAAAAAAAGCACAAAGGTGCGGGGCGTGGGGGCGAAGGTTTGCGAAAGACAGAATAAATGATGTGTTTTCTCAGGCCAGTCGAAAAATCCAATACGACGTTCCCGGCTCAAAGTTTGCCGTGAGATTAATACGGGAACAACAATGAGACAATTAGAAAGCTGCAGCGTTTACTTTCCCAGTCTGCAAAAAAGTGCTGACTTTGTTGGAAGATTGCTTTGCTCATCTATTTTTTTTTTTCCTTGGTACCTTAACAACCCCCCACCACCCCCCAATCAAGTCACGATGTTCCCTCTGGCATGCTAATGCACAATGTCAGGAGAAATATGTATATTTGAATTAATGACTTGTTTAGGTGAAGAAAAAAATATATATATTTAAAAAATGTGGTTGCGGTATTTGCTGAGATTTTTATAAATTAATTTTCTGACTCCCTCTCTAAATGGTGTGACATTTCCTCCCTCTCGCCCCCCCCCCCCCCCCAGCCGGGGCAGGTGGACTGCTGGCCTCTGCCGTGCCCGCCCGTGGACTGCGAGTTCACCATGGTGCCGGAGGGCGAGTGCTGCCCCCGCTGTGTCACTGACCCCTGCCAGGCCGACACCATCCGCAACGACATCACCAAGACGTGCACGGACGAGCACAACATCTCACGCTTCAGCGGCTCCTCCTGGATCAAACACGGCACGGAGTGCACCCTGTGCCAGTGCAAGGTGAGGCGCCCGGAGTCGAGGCCGCAAGCTGGAGCGAGTCGCTTGCTTCTGACTGTAAAGGCGGCAAGCTGCGATGCAGATTTCACGCCACAGAGGCAGTTTGAGCGTTTCTATGGCCTCACTGCAGCATTTCATAGACCAACACTTACATTTGGGGTATATTTTGGGTACTTTCCAAAGGTTTTTACACCTTACCTAATTTTATTATTGATTTCCAAGGAGTCAGACCTTTCTGTGTTGGATAAAGCCTTGCTAGCTTTTTAGCTTAGCATAAAGCTATTGCAGGATTAGGTAACACTTAAGTTGAAGGAGGGTGCATAAGACTGACATGACACCTAAATATGACATCGCATCTTTAAAACACCAAGTTGAAGTTTTATTTTGTAGCCTATGTGCCCTTGAATATGGTTGTCTAAATAATTGGCATTTTGTTATAATCTATAAAATAAAAGAATGTGCTCCTTAAATGTACTAATTTAGATCAATTTTAATTCATTGTACCACCTGGTTCACATGACAAGAGTTTAAAATTGTCGCATGTTTTTGGGTTTTATTCCGATTATTCATATTTCACATGAGAACTATCGCAAAAACCTCTAGAGGCCAAATGTGAGTTCAGAGTAAACAAACGTAGCCGACTTGGAAGAAGCAATGGCGATAGCTTGTGAACTACATTTAAAGTGAAACTCACCCCCAAAATCAACTTTTTTTTTTTTTCTGATAAACTCTACATGGGTTATGTAGGGTTGTGTCTTTATGTTTCTACATGACTTCTTGTGCAGTTCTTTTTGTTCGGCATTATTTTGCCTAAAACCGCCTCACCGCCAGCCTTTTGGTGACATGGCGAACACGTCCACTGAAAAGTTGTTGCAACTGGCGTCGTTGGCAGGGATCTGAATTGGTTCAAAGTCTGCACTTAAAACATGTCATTCTGCTGCGGATTCAAGACAACAGAAACGCTCACAAGCAGACGGCTCCGTCTTTTATTAAATGGAAGTGACGAGAGCACTCCTCTGTTCAGTAGTAACAGAATTATCATGAGTAAACATGACTATCGGTGAGCTCAAGCTGCCAGGTAGAGTAGAAACTAGTCAGAACCTTCAGCGTCGGTGTCGAGTTTAACGCGATCATGATCGTGTTCTTTCACTCAGGACTCCTGACGCCTCAATGAGCCCTTTTCTAAAATGCTAAAAGGAAAAAGAGGCATTCAATTTTATTTTTTTATTGTAATAAACAGAAACCTATTCAAAAACAACGGCTGTTGACCTCTCACCTGTAGCCTCCGGCTCAGCCGCGGCGTCGATCCTCTTCTGCACTGCGTTAAATGAGCAGACGTCTTTACACAATTCAATACTCCGAGTGGTAGTTGTAGCATCTTATGAGAAACTGCGGCAAATAACATTAGGACGATAAATCAAGCTGCTCTCTGTGTTGTTGGACTGAACAGGTGATATTGTAACGTGGACGTAAATTGTTTGCCGTAGCTTTAAAGCTAATCCACTCATTCCTCCTACTTAGCTGACAGCGAGCCTCTTATCGGAAACAAAAGGAATGTGGCAGTATTTCACAAGAAGAGCTTTACCCCCCACTGAAAGTTTTTTTTTTTTTTTTTTTTTTTTTTTGCACATAGCTTTGAACTGACATGCAGTTTTGTTTCGGCCATGATGATGGCGATCCGTGACCCGGTGGGCTTTCACATTTAAATCCCGGCTATAAAATTCCCTTGGGTCGACCGGTGGTAAAAAAAAAAAAAAAATGACAAGCCGAGAAGCTCCAAATGTCAGCTTCTGCATCATGGGAAATTAGCAGCCACTGCGTCTCAAAAAGACTTTGCCTGTACGGTTCAAGTGTGACTGTGACCCTCCCTTCTCCCTCTTTTCTCTCATTTGCAGAACGGACACATCTGTTGCTCAGTGGACCCGATGTGCCTTTAGTCCTTGGCAGATCTGAAGGCACCTGTACAGAGTTCTCCGTGTACAAAGAGAAAAAAAAAAAAGAAAAAAAAAAGTAACACGGCCCCCTGTGTCTCCTCACCGTCCTCTTCACGGGGCCTGGGTCAAATAGTGTTTGCACTGTTCGGCTTGGTTTTGACCTGCTGAGCCAGATGATTGGAGGTTACAATTCAGGTCACAGATAATTGTACATCTTTGACATTCAGGTTTTGTCTCCTCTGGTTTTTCCCTTTTTTTTTTTTTTTTTTTTTTTCCTTTTTCCCCAGTTTAAAGCTTTTATTGTACATTGCATACATCACCTCCACCCATCTGGTACTTTGTGCACGTTAGGTGTTTAAAAGCAACCTGCGAACAGTCTGTGACCCACACCTGTATCCTCAGATCCTTTATACCAAATGCCAAACGGACGATGGACTATAAGTTCCCTCTGACCCGCGTCGCGCCTGCCCAAAGCGAAGCCTTTGAGCGTCGCCGATTACCCACTCCAAAGCATTGCTACATGAATCTGTAAGATATTACTATTACTGGCATGACTGTGCTTGATGTCCAGACATTTTTGCTGATTTCTATAATAACAATGATTATGAAAAATGATACCTTAGATAGTGAAAACCATTAGCATAAGGTTCTGTTGCCACTTTTAACAGTTGTCTGTATGATGTGGTGCTCTGTAGCATTTGTTTTGATTTGATCTTTTTTTTTTTTTTTTGGTATTTTTTCTTTTTTCCCAAGCTTGTTACAGTGTTATGGTGAAATAAAGTATTTCCATTTCCATTTAAGTTCTGGGTTGGACTTCTGTGTATGTGTGTGTCATTAGTTTTTATTGCGTGTCAAACAGAGCACTTGCTAATATTATAGTATTTCTGATATTCAATACGTCTTTTCTTTCTGTTCTAGAGCGACACTTTAACATTCTCTGTTGTAATACATCAATAATCTCCTAATGTGAATGTTTAATTATTGAAACGAAATGATATAAAAAGACTTTTGCTCAGAAAAGTTTTCCATGCAAACTAGTTTCCCTATCTCTACTACAATTATAGTGATTAAATATGTTGGAGAATAGCTGCGCAAAAATTTGCATCGGTCAATTTTTCTTTGATTATTCTTTTTGGTTTGCTTCACCATGATGCAGATGACCTGTCTGACGGGGTTTTTTTTTTGTTGTTTTTTTTTTTTTATATGTATAAAATTATCTTCTATTATCACCATTTCAGTTAGGGATAAGCAGTCTTATCCGTTATATTCTTAACATTTTTTTTCTAAATTTTCTTAAACTGTCTGGCTCTGTTAGAGGTCCTCATTTAGACTGTTACCAGAAATGGATACACAGAAACTTTTCATGTTTGTTCACATGGATAAGATTTTAAATTTATATTCCTTTCTTGAAGTTTCTGGTAGATATCTCATTTCCCTTGTACATAATAGTTGCTGTGTCTGGTAAGATACGATAGCAGAGGACCACATAAGAAGCAATGGCAGGCCACATTTGGCCCCCGGGCCTCGAGTTTGACGCTGTGGCTCAGGGCATAATAAACAACGCTGCAAAACTGGCCTGGTGAGCTAATTTGATAAACACCATTATGTAGCTAAATTTAGACCTTTCAACCATACTTAGATTAAATTTAGCCCGAGTGAGAGGGACTTGATCGATGGAACATAAAGCCACAAGCTAGCAAAAAATATTGCTTGTTTTTTTTATTCTTTAGTAAAGAAAGGAGACCAACTTTGACACAACTTACATTTTCAATTACATTTTAAAAAAGTATCAACAGAAATGGTGTTTGTGCTTTGCAGAGTCTCCACGCAGTGTCGATTAAACCTGAACTCCTAAAGCCTTAATGAGCATTTTCCCAAAATACTGAATTAATCCTTCTCATAAAAACGAGGCGTGAATCTGGGAAAAACAGAAACCTGTTCGGAGCGAGCAGCTGTTGACCTCACATCTGGCAGCTTCTGGCACAGCTACAGCGCTAAT